TATAATATATAATATATAATATAATGTAATATAATATAATATATAATTGCAGGATTGGATTTTGTGGGAATCGTCTGCCCCTATCCGGAAAAGGCCGCCGTGCTGAAAGTCTAGACCCAGAGAGCCCAATACCCCTTAAATAAGGTATATACCTTAAATTCTCGGGGCTTAAATATCATGATTTAAGGTATATTCCTTAATTGAGGGTTATTGGACTCTCTGGGGACCTGTGCTGACAGCTGATGGAGGCTATTGGTTCTGCTAGGACAGGAAATTTGGAAGCAGGTGGGTACAGACAACCAAGATACTCATGCAATCGCCACATGCAGTCATGTTTGCATGTGCCTATGCATGTATGTATTTATGTGTATGTATTTGTTTGTGTTATGTTATGTATGTAATTTTGCATGCATGGACGGACGGACGGATGGATGGATGGATGAACGTGTGTGTGTGTGTGTCTCTGTCTGTCTCTCTGTCTCTCTGCTTGCCTGTCTGTCTGTCTGTCTGCCTGCCTGTCTGTCTGTCTGTCTGTCTGTGCCTGCCCGCCTGCCTGGCTGGCTGTCTGTCTGTCTGTGCATGTTCGCATGTACGGATGTATGTATGGATGCACGTGCATAGGTATAGGTATGTATGTATGCAACACTCCACGCATGCATGCATGTATGTGTGTCTATGTATGCTGGTATGGTATGGTCTGGCGCGGTATGATATGTTATGCATGTATGAACATCCAGGCAATCAATCGCTCAATCAATCAGTAAATCAATCAATCAATCCATCCCAATAATCAATCAATCAATCATGCAATCAGTCAACCACTCACTCAATCACTCACTCAATCAGTCAATCAATCAGTCAATCAACCGATCAAGCAGTCAGTCAGTCAATCAATCAACAACCCATTCAATGAATACATGCTTGTAGGATGAATGAACCAACGCAGGAATGAATGTGTGCATACACGTGCTTTCTTGAATGCAAGCAGGTAGGGATTTGGATATGGTATCTGCGCTGATACCTAAAGGGTTCGAACTCTTCGAGGAACAGGCACTCATAGATTTCCAAATCTGTATATGGGAGTGTTGGGGCCTGTGAACATAAATACAAACAGATTCCCTGTGTGTGTAAGGTACCTACATGCAAGTGAACATGTGCACATAAATCCACGCGCAGCTGGAACTCATGGACATACGATGCCTGCGCAGCATCGAAGGCGTACTGTTGAATGGAAACCTGAAACAACCCAACCACCGTGGAACCTAACCTACACACCCGAAAGCTTCTGAGAATCCAAAACCCAAAAGCTCACCCAAACCCCAACAGAAAACCCTTCAAGTCGTAAACCAGGTTTACGGGTAAGGGTCCCAAAGGGTCCTATGTACCTATGGTAGAATGTAGGGTTTCCATTTTAGAAATTACTATACTATATGAAGAATCTTCGCTGCCAAGGAAAATGGGATGGGTACACGCCGAAGACGAGGCAACGAAGGAGCATCGGACTTCTTTAAGTCTTTGAGGTGTTGATGGAGTCTTCCAGGGTTTTACAGGCTATACAACTTGGGGGGTCTTGCAGGGTTGGGGTGAGAAAATTACGGGTCTCATTGTAGGCTTCTTATTCCCGTGATCTTACCATTTGATCTTGCCATTTACAGTCTGGATTGGGGTCCCTGATTTATTGAAACTCCCCACAGAGGGATTCGTTTGGTGGTTCCAGGAATAGTCGGCAGAGTTGCGTGGAGTTTCTAGCCATGTGGCTTAAGAAGATTCTTCAATAAACCAGGTTCGGGCTTCCTGGCATGACCTCGGACAAGTGCTCAAGCGCATGAAGAGGGGGCAGAAGGTGCATTAAGGGCTGCCATTAGTACTTGAATAAGGTAACCTTTTACTTCTTGGACCTTTGCACAATCCTACTATGACATCAAGGACGTGTTTGGGGAGGGGGGAGGGGGGGGGGGGGCAGGGAAATCCGGCCTACGCTCGCTTCAGGAGCCGGAAATGCTGTGTCGACAGCAGAAAAAGCGCTAAGAAGCAATGCAGCTTTGAGCGGGGAGCCTAGTTGGCTATGATATACCTCAACCTACCAAAACCTACTTTTTTGTAGGGTCCCTATAAATTCCATATGAGGGTGTATAAAAAGAACCTACAAAAAAGTAGGGTATGGCAGCTTAAGGTCGAGGTCGAACAAGCACTATGCATGTCCCCGCATGCTCCCGTTCCTAAGGACTGCTTACTGTCTTGGGAAACCATCCATGCCCATGCTGCAGCATCTAGGATCACCGGGTGTGTGCAATTTCTTTGATTCTGGTATCCACTGCCAGGCCGGCCGGGATGGATGAATCCCAGGTAGAGTTGCAATGGCCAACAGCCTACGTGGCCACGGCTTTCACCTTAGAGGTGTTGCTTACGGCCTGGTTGCTGTACCAGGCATCGTGGCCTTGGGCTGGTTTGCTGCTGGGGGGGGGGAGGGGGGCCTGAACCCTAAACTAGGCCCTAAGCCCTTATAAAGCCTACAGCCTAAACCTACTTCATCTAGGCCCTAAACCCTTATAAAGCCTGAAACCTTCCTGACCCTAAACCTATTTCATCAAGCTGAGTGTTTGTTCGCCTCCGGGGTACTTATCACCAGGGAAAAAGTTGTCAGCGGCTTCCAGGTCCTCGGCATCTCCACATGAGATCGGAGAGCTTAGAGTCGGATTCTCCACTAGTTTCGCAAGAGCGCCCAGGGTTTAGGGTTTAGGGGTTTAGGGCTCAGCTTTTAAATCTCGGATGAAAGGCGTCGAGTGCAGAAGCATTGAATTCCAGCGGTAGATGCTTTCCGTACAGCGTGTCTCCCCCACTACCTCTTCATCTTGAACCACGGACCCCTACACATATTCAATTCCTCTAACCTCCAAACAACGGCCCTTCGAAACTCCTAAGCCGACCAGGTTTGCACACGTCAAATGCCCATGGGTGCCATCCGACGTCGAATCGTCTCCTATGCCATCCGCCTCGCCAGATCGTTGGTTCCCTTCTCCCGGGAATCTAAGAGCCACTTGAGGTGAAGTGGATTTAGGAGTTTATCGTGGTTGTTAAATTCGGAACAGCTCCCTCCCTACGGCTTAGCATCAAGGAAACATGCTGCGCATACCCGAGGTAGGAGTGCCATCCATAAGGAGGTGAGAGCCCTTCGATTCTACCTCAGCAGAAAGATTGTGGCCATCAACCTGATTCTAGTACTGGTAATGGTGCTGCTGGTCCAGATGCGCGTTGTCTTCCAGTTACCTGCAACGATCCAGGGTGCTTTTTGCTGGACCCTGGTTGGAACGCTTGCTTGGATGACGATGTCCTTGGTAGTGCCACAAACGACCAAACATGACCTCTGGTATGTGATCTACTCATGCATTCTGCTGCTGTATCTGCTGCCAATGAACTCCAGCACACGTAGTACCACCCGTGTCGCTCCACTGCTCTTCACGCTTTTCCGGCTCCCTGCAATCCTCACAGTGGACCGCATTTATTTGGTGTTTTTCAGCAACCTGCCCTTCCTGGCCGTCATTAGCTGGCGGGCGGCGGTAGAGGATTTTGACGTGAGTTACGGGGGCCGGACAGCTGCCGTAGGTATGGAGTGCTTGCACATAGCAGTGCTGGTTGCCCTGGCCGTGGCTTTGCAAGACTATCTGGCCGGTCGGGTAGAGCTGGAGATGGAGAGCTGCAACACTGCCACTCAGCTGACTGCGGCCTCCTCACTACTCCAGTTGACTTGTGATGCCGTGGTGGAGTTGGACGGTAACCTCCGCTTAACGAAGCATTCCAAAGAGCTGGCTGCCATGCTCCTCCGAGACACCAGTGCGTCGCTGGAAGGCGTGCGCTTAATAGACTTAGTGGCAGGCTCGGACACTGCTGCTGCACTATCGAAGCTGACCAACTTCCGCAGCAGAAGTTGTAGCAGTGTCATAAGCGGTGCCTCAGAAGGAATGGGCGCGCACGCTTTCCACACTCGTTTGGTCGACAGCTAGGCCACCAAGCTGCAGACAGAAATCCTTCAGGTGATGTATACCAAGAGAGACGGCAGCACCTGTCACCTCGTGGGTCTCCGAGACTTCACGGATACCAAGCCATACACTGGAGTCACGAGCCAGACAACCGGGTTCGACAGCGAGGCGTTAGACGCATCAGCTGACAGCATCAGCTTCGCACCGCAAGCGAGCGATGCATCTCAGGCCGCGGCCTACAGGGGTTTTGGTACAATAAAGTAACATTATTTCATTTGCTAACATATAACATAATATTATATTATATATATATTTATTTATTTATTTATATTAAATTATATATATATATATGTTAGCAAATGAACAAGATAGCATTATTTGAGACCTTAGCGTCTCCGAGTTCAACTTTCAGTCTAAGCCCCCTGCTCTGGCAGGGATCGCAGTGGTGGGATAGTTCGTACGACACGCAGGGTGCCAAATTCTTGAGATCAGGAGCGTGGTCCGGTCTAGTCTCGTCCCTCTATTGATCCGGAAGAAATGCCCGCAACCCTAAACCCTAAACCCTAAACCCAAACCCTAAACCCTAAACCCCAAACCCCAAACCCTAAACCCTAAACCCTAATCCCAAACCCTAAACCCTAGGGAAAAATCAGCAATGTCACGTCCCCGGTCAGGTGCCTGTGCAGCACGGGCGTGGGACTCTTTTTCTCGAGATCGATGCTTGGACTCAGAATTATATTACAGGTTTAGGGTTCAGGGTTTACGGTTTAGGGTTTAGGGCTTGGGGGTTTAGGGATTAGGGAATTAATAATTCGAATATGGTTTTGGGGGTTCCTTATTATGATTATAGTATAATAGACCCCCAAACCCTATTCTAATTATTAAGGCCCCTATATTTTATGACATTGTCCGGGTTTCAGAAGGAGTCTAGACGGGATAAAGAGCATCTTACATGTGCTTCTGATGGCCGAGTCTTCGAAAAAGCCACCCCAAAAACACAGAGAATACCTATGTTCATTATCCTCCTTCAACGCTCTAAATAAACCCTAAACCCCAAAACACAGAGAATACCTATGTTCAGTATCCTCCTTAAACACTCAAAAGCCTGAGCCCACACCCCGGACCTTGCTGTCCCCTTCGTGTTGCCTCGCGGGCAATTAGGGCTTCGGGTTTAGGGCTTGTTTAGGTTTTAGGTTTTGGGTTTAGGGTTTAGGGGTTTAGGGTTTAGGGTTTAGTTGTGAATGCTCAAAGCCGCTGAATTCCCCGAGACTGTCCAACACCCCTGAATGCTTAACTAAGCCCTGCAGGGACCTAGCATCAGCGAAGCGGATGGGAAACAAACCCTAAACTACTAATTCACCTCAATTCCGGGTTCTGTGGTTGTTTTGAGGGGCATGGGGCACCAAGGACGTGGATGGGTTGCAGATCACGGCCGCCTCGTCCAGCCTTGTAGATTTGGTTGGGGCGCCGACAAGTCAGGTGCTCCTTCGAAGTGAAACTGAGCACAGGGAGCCCCATTGCCATTAACTTGTCCCCTTTTCTGCCGCTAAATTCAGGGTTGGCCAGGACAGCATAGAAGCAAAATCCCACAGAGACAGCCTGGCCAAGATCTTAGATTCAAGGTTTGGGCCACGCTTCCCGGGCACCAATCAGAGTTGAAATCCCGAACCCAGACAACCCAATACCCCTTAATTAAGGAATATACCTTAAATTATAGGGGCCTTAATATTATGATTTAAGGTATATTCCTTAATTAACGGATAGTGGGTTCTCTGGGAACAGCCCCATCTCCAGGTGTTCCCTGCTGCCCAGACTATTCAACTTCTGGAGCGGATTCACAGTGACTTGCTCGCTTGATGTCTGAGTAGCTGAGTAGGTGACCTTTAACCCTTTTTTGGTGCTTTTATAATCCTACCATACTTGAAAGTTTAGCCTTTTTTGGGCTAGGGTACCCTAAACCCTAAACCCTGAACCCTAAACCCTAAGCTAGGGTACTCAGCCCCTGAGATTTACTGTGGAGGCTTTAGACCTTTCGGGTTTTGCACTCGGGTTTAGGTCCTCTAGTGCTTGGGGTTCGGTTGAGGGGTTTAGGGGTTTAGGGGCTTAGGGGCGTAGGGGTTTAGGGGTTTAGGGTTTAGGGGTTCCGGGTGTAGGGTCTAGGGCTGTAGGGAGGGCCTTAGGACCCCAGGTGATGGCAGAATGCGCTTGGAGAGAGGGGAGCGGCCACCAGCGAAAGCCACTGGGACCACAGTTCGCGTCTGGGAGTGCGCAGAGTTACTGCTTCGGGGGTGTATGTTGGCTTCTGTTATTTCTGTATTATATTTTTATTACACACAAGCGACAGTCTTTGTGCGGAGGCAGCAGCCTTGAAATACTAAACCCTACAGTTGGGAACGAAAAGCTGGGCGCTATCAAAATGCGACTGACGCCCGGCTAAGGCACTTAACGCTGACACGAGAAAGCCCTCTGAACCCAATCATCGATCTGGGTTAAGTGCTTAAGCTACGGTATGACAACAACGAAAGTAGATTGTTCACTGCTTGTGTTCAGCTCCCTTAGCTCAAGCACCCTGCAAAACTCCACATGAACCCCTGGCACAAGCCTTGCAACCCCCATTCATGAGTCAAAACCCCTAACAAGGACCCTAAACCCTACTAACCCCCAACCTAGGTCCCTAAACCCTCAACCCTACTCTTGTTAGCGGATTTAATTTAATGTTCTATAATAAGGAAATTCTTGGCTATAGATGCCTATAGTGGAACTTAAATAACATCCCTCAACAGGAGCCCAGTAAACCCCATAAGCCCTAACACCTTGCATATTCGCATATTCACTCAACCCTAAACCCTGGCCTTGGACCGAACCGGCACCCGGCGGCATGTGGGTGGGTGCAAGGCAACTCACGGGATCCCGTAGTCCTTCGGACCCGAGATTCTGAAATTTAGTTCTTCGGGGTGAGGGTTTGGGGTGTATAGGGTTCAGGGTTTAGGGTACTTCTATTTTAGGGTGTAGGGTGTATAGGGTTTCGGGTTTGGCTACAGCTCAAGGGTTTCGGCTCAAGTCTCAGGATTTCAGGATTGGACAGCGTGTTGTGGTTCCCATGAATTCCCAGCTTGCAAGGGGCCTGCACACGAAGGAGATGCGATGGTCCTGTCGGAGGAGGCCATGGAGCAATTGGATGGTGCTCCAGCCTGGCCCATTGCTCTCATGGAGACCATGTTGAAGTTGTTTGGGGGTTGGTCTTTCAGGAGGTGGGTGACACGAAGCGACCTTCCGGACAGTCAGAAAGGAGGCTTGCCTGGATCACAAGCCGTCACCTGTGTTTGGTCTGCCCAGCAACTACTCCATACAGACTATAGGCGTGGAGACATGCCTTGTGGTTCTTGGTGGATGTACGACAAGCTCTCGATTCGCTCAACCGCTGTGTCATTTTGCAGCACTTATTGGATGGACCGTCGCACTCGTCCAAAGAAGCTGCGGCTACTTACCATCGCATCTGCAGTCACATGACCTTTCACTTTGGGGGTGGGTGGTGGAAGCTGACGCAGAACACTGGCACGCGACAGGGCAGCCCGATCAGCGCAGGTCTCAATGCGACTGTCTTGAGGGAAGCAGTTGATCACCTGTTTGATGTGTGGCAGAGCGGTCGAAGCGCTCGTCCTAGGCACAGGGATCATGCTGGTCGTTTGCTGTTTGGCTGGTGTTACGCAGATGACTGCATCTTCAATCTCGACTCATGGGGTTCATTCCAAAGGGGCCTCTCTGACATCATTGCGGCCCTTGCCGAGCTCGGACTACATCTCAATCTTGATAAAACACAGCCCAGACTGGTATCACGAGGGCTTGGACTTCTTTGCTTCAGATCCTGATCACCGGCACTGCAGTGCAAGTGGGTGACTGTTGGAGAGTCTCTTAGAAGACCTTTTAAACATTGCCAAGCTGAGACCTCAGTCAGCTCCTGGGTCTTGGAGGCGGCATTGAAGGCCACGGATGCAGGATGGGAAGCGATTGCCAGGCTTTTAAAGGCCTGTGATAGGCATAGTCCTGCTGAAGATTTGGTGATCCTCAATCGCTAACATGTGCTCAGCAAGTGGAGGTTTCCTGGCCCCCATGCTTGAGCCGCAGCAACCTGTTATAAAACCAGTCAAGAATCTCCACACCACCACGGTGGTCCTGCTGAAACTCCATTTTCACCACACTTTGTCACACACAAGAACAGTTGCCTCGAATAGGCAGCATAGACGCATAGCGCAGCAGCTGCCAAGGTTGAACCATCGCAAGCAGTGGGTCTATGCGATCGTCAAGCGAAAGTGGACGTACGTTGGACACTGTCTTCGTGGGCGAAGTCAGTCTCTGGAGCTTGCTTCGCTCTGTGCGCCTTCGTGCATGAAGCAAGCCCTGGCAGTAAGAGGGCCGTGGAATCACATGCTCAGCGGGGCTTCGCAAGCCTGTCAAACCTGGGGTCTACTGCCCGAGGGGCCAGCTCAATCGGGAGAAATCGCTGAGATAGCGCAGGATAAGGTTTGCTGGAATGATAGAGCTGATAGATTTGCAATGCTGACCACTCATGACCTTGGCTATTATCTGCCTCAGACTTGGGAATACTGGTGGCATCCTCTGCAGGATGGTGGCATTTGCCTGTCGTTGTCGTCCCGTATCAAGGCCCTCTAACAGATGCTGGATAGAGAGGTTGGAGCGGCCATTTTCCAAGTCGATACTCTGATTGAGGCTTGCAGCTAATTACTGTCTTATGACAAAGCGTGTCTTTAGCGTTGATGTCGTGGTGGAACCCGAAGTTCAGGACTGTGTGCTGTTGGAGCTGCCACATGTGGTCAGGGAGGTTTGGCTTCAACATTCGGTGGTCGTTACGGGGACGGCCTATCCTAGGGAGTGGAGTGCTTGTGTGCTAACGTTTTCGGGCCTCGGCTGAAGAACGGCAGAAGAGGCAATGCTGGCAGTCATCAAGTCCGGTTTAAAAAGGTTAGTTCTTTGGGTGCAGGTTGTAGGCTGTATAAGGTCTAGGGTAGTTCTATCACTACCTCTAGTCTCCATTGTATTATTTTTTATTTGGTTGCTTTGAGGGATCCTAAAAAATTGGTTGGTTAAACAAACAAGGAAATGTAATGCATACTTCTTTCAGGATATGTAGGGCCCTGGGGTCTGGAGCGTAGTAGTTCTTGGGGATTGAGAAGTGCTGGCTTACTTCTTGTGTATGTTTGTCAATTTGG